CTTGAAAATTCAGAATCACCTCCAGTTCATGCAATCCACTTTCCCATACTTCTCTACTTTTTCTTGACAATGAGGAACCAAAAACACGTAGGGCTAATGGAAGTCCATTACACTGATGTACTATTATTCTCCAAGATTCCTCCATAAAATCTTCAACTGGGTAAGCTTGTCCACGGGCATGCCAACTCAAAAGATTAAGTGATTTTTTGTTATCTAGTGGTTCATCTTTGCACTTGACACACTCACCATCAGCTACAATCTAAGTCTTATTTCTAGTTATTACAATGATTTACTTCCTTGGCGAAGCCAATTTCGCATGCCAACAATTGCATTGAACAATTGCATTTAATTGGTCCCATTTGTCCACATCATCAAGTACAATATGATTTCTTCTGCAACATAATGCATCCTTGATATAATCCCTTCATCAACATCATGTACGTCATCAGCAGTCTTGTTTAGGATATCAGAAAGAAGTTGCCTCTGCAGGCAAACTACTCCATTGGATTCTTTTGATTATTCTCTAACATTTGATAGAAAGTTCCTACCTTCAACATGATGTCATATTCTTTGACATTTGGGTGATTCTTGACGAGCAATTTCCCTTCCCATATCTCTTATGAGTTGATGCATCCATAACTTTTTATCATTTTTTATTTTGACAATTTCTACTAGACATCTATCAATGAGATTGTCAATCCTAAATCTTGCACCTATACCGAGTCCATCTAGTATCCTAACCGCATAATTGTAATCCATTCCATTGAAGAAACAAGCAATATCAAGGAATAAGTTCTTCTGATAATCATCATCAAGAGAGTCGTAACTTGTTGCAAGAACCTTTTGGACTTGAAAATTCGGAATCACCTCCATTTCATGCAATGCACTTTCCCATACTTCTCTACTTTTTCTGGACAATGAGGAACTAATAACATGCAAGGCCAATTGAAGTCCATGGCAATGACGTACTATTCTCCAAGAGTCCTCTAAAAAATCTTCAACTGGGCATCCAAAAGCATGCCAACTGAAAAGCTCAAGTGATTTTTTGTTATCTAGAGGTTCAACTTTGCACTTGACACACTCACCATCAGCTACAATCGAAGCCTTATTTCTAGTTGTTACAATGATTTTACTTGGAAAAGCCAATTTTGCATGCCAACAATTGCATTGAAGTGGTACCATTTGTCCACGTCATTGAGAACAATAAGAGTTCTTCTGCAACATAATGCGTCCTTAATCTTCATAATCGCTTCATGGACATCATGCATCTCATCAGCAGTCTTGTTTGGGATATCAGAAAGAAGTTGACTCTGTATACAAACTACACCATTGGATTCTATTGACCTTTCTCTAACATATGATAGAAAGCTCCTGCCTTTAAATTTATGAAAGTTCTGGTTATAAACAGTATTTGCTATGGCTGTCTTCCCAACTCCACCAATCCCATAGAGTATTGCAATAGCAGCACCATGGGTGCCATCTTGCAACCATGAGTAGATATGTTTTACCAGATGATCTCTTCCAATGAAATGAAAGGGGACATGAAATATTTTACGATCCAGATTCTTTGAGACCTTCTCCACGATAGATTGGACAAGCTGTGCCTCATACCTGCATCAGAAAGAAAAATGTAATGTATGATAATTAGTAGTCTCTCCGTAAAGTTTCAAAATCTTAGTATCCCGGAAAAAACAAATTAAACCAGGCTGTGCCTCAATGATTGATTGCTACTTTTGTAGCTATGTTATCACCTCATATTAAAACCAAAAATGGAATAATGTAGAAATCTTTGTTTTTTCAGGTAGTCGAGGGAAAAAAAAAAAAGAAAAAAGAATCTTTTACTTTTATTTTCCTTGTATGTTCTCTGAGTTGGGATTGTTATAGTTTCACTGAATTGTAGTGGTATTATCAGTTATCATCTAAATGCTTAACTACAAACCTGAAAAAATGAAGAGTTCAGAACCAGCATTCTACTAGTATGTTATGTGTAGTTTCATCAAGAAATACAACTTACCCATCTCCCAAAACGATTCCTCCTAAATCTGCAACTTCCTTCAAAGCAATCCTCCACCCATTCACTTGCTCCATCTCCTTCTTGAAGCGCTTGTCATGATCCACAAATGCTGCAGCAAAGCTCCCTTTTTGATTTCTGACTTCAGACGGATCCACATCATAGAAGACCGGCAAAATTATGCAGTCAGTATTCCTCTTACGTTCCATGATCATTACAAGTTCATCCAGGCACCACCGCGAGGAAGCATATGCTTTGGAGAACACGATTATCGATATTTTTTATTGTTGTTTTGCCTGTTGGAGCTCTGACTTGATATGTTCTCCTCTCCCAATTTCATCATCGTCTCTAAATGTGTGAATCCCTGCTTGAACCAGGGCTGTATAGAGGTGATCAGTAAAGTTCTTGCGGGTGTCTTCACCTCTAAAACTCATCCACCCTCGCTGTGCGCCTGCTCTGGCCGGATCTCCATCGTCTCGCATCCAAAACCAGCATCAACACCACCCACTATGGTTCCATCAATAAGAAAAAGGCAAGTGGAGGATCATGACTCTGAATCAGCTACTGGGTCGGCTACCGACTGGTGTTCCGTTTTGAGCCGTTGAGTATTGCTGTGGAGTGGAGGGACATTGAAGCTGCAAAATGTTTTGTGTCTTTGGCTATAGAGTGTGGGTTTAGGGAATCAGGGATTACAAGTGCTGATGGCAAGAGGTTTATTGAGTTGGGGTTCTATAAGAATGGAGGTTCCATGGTGTGATAGTAATAGGATTCTGTTGTCAAAAGAGTATGTAAGGTTGCCCGTTGACTTGGTTCATCGGAAAATTGGAAGAGAACTCGAGCGTTTTTTAGTTGTTTAAGAGAAAACAGCAAATGGGTTTGTGGAGTTCAGAGTCTTGGAAAATGGTGAGCAGCAACAAGGGGATGATGATCAGCTGGAGAGAACAGCAAATGGGGATGGTAATGTCCTCATTGATGATTTTCATTAATTTGCAGAGCTCTGATTCTGGATGTTACTTTAGTTGTCTTGAGGTAGTGTCATCTTGCAGAACATCTGTTGACTTTGTACTTTTCGATGCTTTATGTAATACTTCCCCTGTTCCTCCCTTGGTTTTCTTTACTCTGACAATAGTGACAGTACCGTGCTGGTTTCTGAAAGACTAATTCAATTGCATCTTTACCGGTACATGCACTAAAAAATCTATGTTAATTTATTATGAAAATTTAATATAATTAAATCAAATTTTAATTAAAATAAAATATATTTAAATTATAAAACCCTCTCAATCATATTTTCAAAATATATCTATTTATTTTTTATTACAAGTGAACTTATCAGGAAAGGAAAGGGTTTATGTAAAAAACAATAACAATTAAATTTCACCATATGTTATTTTTATATAAAAAGATAAAATAAAATAGATAAAATAACATGAAAATAAAATGGATCTTTACATATATCTTGATCAATAAAAGATTGACAAGTAAAATAAAATATTTTACTATAAATACAAGATTTTATAAATAAAAATTAATTAATAAAATAATAATATATTAAAGCGGGGAAAAAAAGTGAAAGGCATTACAAATGTTTATAAATAAAAGATCTCATGCTATACAAAGAAAGAAGGAAGATTACTAGAGATACAAAACTATTTTCCTGATAAGCTTTTCAAAACCTTTCCACTTTTGTTATTGAATTTTAATTCTATCTTTTAATTTGATAATTTTCAATCAAAATTAATTTTTAAATTTTAAATTTTGATGATTATTATATTTTATTTTTATAAAAAATATCTATATTAATTTATTGAAAAAATTTAATATAATCAAATTAAATTTTAATTAAAATAAAATATATTCAAATTATAAAATCCTCTCAATCATATTTTCAAGATATGACAACTTTTTTTTTTTAATCACAAGTGAACTTGTCTGGAGAGGATATATGTAGAAGCAAAAAAGAATTACCATTCAAATTTTAACATATGTTATTTTTATTTTATTTCTATATAAAAGGATGAAATAAAAAAGATAAAAAAATGAATCATTACATATATTTTGTTCAATAGAAAATTGACACATAAAATAATATATTTAAAATATCTTATTATAAATCCAAGATTTTATAAATAAAAATCAATTAATAAAATAATAACATATTACAGGAAAGAAAAAAAAGAAAGTGAAAGTCCTGACAAATATTTATAAATAAAAGATCCCATGCTTTCCATGATAAAGAAAGGAGGAAGATACAAAACTATTTTCATGATAAGCTTTTCAAGAAAAAAGAAAAAACCATTTCGAAAGCTTTCCAGCTTTTTTAATGTTACGGTTGAAATCTAAAAAAGCAAACCTCTACTTTGGGTTTAAGCAAGTTCTAGACCTCTCTTTGCAAAATACCACCAATCGCCATTGCCATCATTGCGTTTACAATGGAAACCACAATAGTAATTTCTAAAAATATTATTGCTACTGTTGTGGGCATTGATAACTTCATCCTTTGATTGGATAAAATCATCATCCTTTCCTTCCTCTTCAAGCGACCATTGTACACCAATCGTCCTTACTTGCATAGCAATTGGATTTCACGAACACCACGTCATCACCATTATCAAATGTAGGATCATCGACCCCTAATTTCGTGTGCATTAGCAATTGGATTTCACGAACACCACGAGCGGACACCAAAAGGGAAGACCACGGCGAGACAACACATGGATTGACCACTGGTTTTTTTTCTGATTTCAATAATATAAGCATATCTAGAGGCAGGGTATGCTGACGTCACATAACTTATGAACAGATTAAAGCCACATATCCGGTGCGCAGGAGATGATGAGGATATTTTGAATGAAAAGTTATCTACAACCTCATCCTGAATTAGCCATTTATCCTCTTCTTCCTCCTCATGAAACCCCCTAAACATCTCATCTTTATCAAATACAGATGCGACAACGTAGAATATGCCATGATCAAATGTTATCTGTACCACCAAAACAATAATGTCTATAAAATGAGCAAAAGAAAAGTATTCAAATGTAGATTTCCAAAACAATAAAATGGGTGAGGGAGGACCTGAAATCTCGATTTCTGTATCTGAGCACTAACCGTTTCCATTATTCTGAACATGTGAGAGTCAAACTTTTGGATTAATTCTTGCTTCATCCGATCTTGGAACTCGACTAAGTGATCACAACCATCTGCTAAAATCCAACGGTGTCGATTTGTAATGCTTTGCAGTGAATAGCAAAAGGACACATCTAACGAATCCAAATGGGATGGAAGCTCTGGGAGTGCCTGAAGCATTTTGCAATTTCTTAAACATAGGAAGTAGAGTAGACCAAGATCCTTGATGCTTTCTGGAAGAGAACGCATTGTTGTTCCACTTAAATCTAGTCTCGTCAAGGAGCCTGGCAGTGCAAACGAGCTATATCTCAACATTTTCCTCGCTGAAAACCTAGAGGGAAAGAATAGCTTCAATGGAAGAGATGTAATGTATGATGCACTTGCAACAATTCCATCACTTCGAAGCAACTTGCGCCCTTGATGATGCTCTAACTCCATATTCAGGCTGTCAAGATTTGAGCAACCATCTAAAACCAGCTGTTGAAGTGAATTCAATCTACTCATTTCTTCTGGAAGCTCCATAAGACTTGTACAATTTCTTAGATTTAAGATCAACAATCTTTGTAAATCACCAATAGATTCGTGAATTTGAACCAAATGGATGCAGTCTTCAAGTATTAGCTTTTCAAGACTTGGAAGACCCGAGAAGTCTGGGGTTCTAATGAGATCTTGAGAGTGATGGAGATTGAGAACTTTTAATTTTGGAAGAAACTGCGAAAATACATGAATTTAGTTGTTATCAATTGAAAACGAGAGAGATAGCTATAGAGAGAGACTAGATACATACCAGATTGCCTTTCCAAGCATCAACTAGACAGCTTCTGGATAGATCAAGAACCACCAGCTTCTCCAAGCATACGTGATTTGGTATGGAGCTCAAAGACAATCCATGCCAACATAACCATATCAAATTCTTGGAAAAGTGGTCAAAACTTCCATGAAAATTAGTGTAGTTTAGTTGGAGAAATTTTATATCTGGCATCTTTCTAAAAGCATCCGTGCTGAGGATGGGAAATAAACTTATTTGACCAGTTTGTAATTTTCCCCCATCATAAAAGTCAGAAAGCCATTGTTGAACGAAGTTAAGCCTGCGGCAAACAATTTAACTGGTACAGACAACCTCTGCATTATTATCTTTTATTAATGCATGCATATCAACGGTAAGGCCACGCAATTTTTCAGCATCCTGCTTCAAAAATATTAAAAGTACATGAGAAAGGACAGGACAGTAAATGAAAGAATATGTTAAGGCACCACAAACCATTTAAGCAGATATAAAAAAACAATTGAGCTACTTACAGTAGTTCCTTTCAAAACTGTAAAAGCATCCTCGTGGCGCCATATTCTTTGACATTTGGGTGATTCTTGACGAGCAATTCCCCTTCCTATATCTCTTACGAGTTGATGCATCCACAACCTTTTATCACTGTTGATTTCAACAAGACATCTATCGATGAGATTGTCAATCCCAAATCTTGCACCTTTATCGAGCCCATCCAGTATCCTAACTGCATCATCCACATCCATTCCATTGAAGAAACATGCGATATCAAGGAATAAGTTCTTCAGATAATCACCATCAAGAAAGTCGTAACTTATTCGAAGAACCCTATGAACCTCAGAGTTAGGAATCACTCCCATTTGTTGCAATGCGCTTTCTCATATCACTCTTTCTTTTCCGGACAATGAAGAGCCAATAACTCGAAGAGCCAATGGAAGTCCATTACAATGATGTACTATTCTCCAAGAGTCTTCCACAAAACCATCAACAGGGTTAGCTTGTCCAAAGGCATTCCAACTGAAAAGCTCAAGTGATTTTTCATCATCTAGCAGTTTAACTTTGTATCCGATCCACTGAATATCATTAGCTGAAAACAAACCCTTATTTCTGGTTGTTACAATGATTTTACTTCCTCTACAAAGCCAATTTTGCATGCCAACGATTTTATTGAATTGGTCCCTTTTGTCCACATCATCTAGAACAATAAGAGTTCTTCTACAACATATTGCATCCTTGATCTTCAGAATTGTTATGTATGGACACAAATAATAGGTGGCAGCCATGTGATTGCAATGCAAGAATCAATGGTAGGTGCCTAACCAAAGAAATTGTTGCCCACCATTGTTGACTAAAGGAAGAAGCTTGTCTCCCACTTTAGCTATAAATAGAGAGTGCCATTGATAGCTGAGCATCACCACGAAATAGAGAGAAACACAGAGAGAGCTTAGAATGAGAGTTGAGTTGAGTAGAGAAGTTTTTTCTCCTCCTCCTTGTTTTGTTGTTTATATTGCTTTTGAGCTTGATTAATACAAATCAGTAGCTCCGTGGAGTAGGCAAGTTGTCGAACCACGTAAATTGATGTGTGTTTGAAAGCTTGAATGTCCTAACAACTAGTATCAGAGCTTGTTCTTGAAAAAGAGGGTGTTTGATCCAAACTTAAAAATCAAAGTTCTGAAAACGTGTTTTTGAACATACCATCGTGAAGAGGAAGACGAGAGAAATTCACTGGTGAAAACTCGGCGAAAATCCGACGTCCTGCATGCCCGCACTCACCTGTATGCGCCACCATCAGCACTGCCCACGCGCACCACGCGTCTTCCTCACTCGTTTCCTGCAATATGAGTCGGGTTGACCCGCCACGCAAGCAGTTCTGCCCAGTCACTTGTCACGTCACCTGACACATCATCTGCCACGTCATCACTGCCACATCAACCAAAAATCCACGTGGTTCTGCCATTTCAGAATTGTGGGGCCCACATATCTTACGTGTCTGACACGTCAGCATATCTACGTCAGCATCAGCATATCCACGTCAGAATAAGAGTTCTTCTGCACCATAATGCATCCTTAAGCTTTATAATCGCTTCATCGACATCATGTATCTCATTAGCAGTCTTGTTTAGGATATCAAAAAGAAGTTGCCTCTGTAGACAAACTTATTGTGTGTGGTCCCACACCATGTGATGGTGGGACCACCACATTAATTTTCATGTGATGGCTGTCTCTTGGTGTTAATATTAATGTGGTTCGGGTACTGTAGCGGCAGAATTGAAAATAGAAGAGAGGAGAAGAAAATCAAGAGAGAAGAAGAGAAGAAGAGGTAGCAGAGCAGCCTGCGTTCTTCCTTCAATTTTCAGTTCGTTCACCATTGGATCGGGCGGAGATTTTGACAGAAGCTTCTAGACACGTTGATCTTCATTCTGGACGGTTGGATCGAAGATTGGTGGTGTGGAAGCTGGCCATTTTGATAGAAAAAGGGGCTGTCAGTATTGTGAGTTTTTCTCAAATAATTCTCCTTTAATCTTGTTGTAATCCAAGAATAAGTTGTTCTTTATGATATATATGTTGTATCCCTTAGTTGAATCTGACGAAGAATGATTGTGAACCCATTATTTGTTAATAGTGGAAGTTTTTAGGTAAACTACGGTCCCGTGGTTTTTCCCACATCGGGTTTTCCATTTTAAAAATCTTGGTGTTGATTTTGTGATTATTTGCATTATTTTTTTATCATTGTTTGATTTTGTCTTACTGCACAAAGAGGGAAAGAATTAGGACTTGTGAATTGTGAATTGTATTCCGCTGAATTGATCCGGGTAAATTGGTGTCCGGTTGTTCCTAGTTTTCTCAACAAAGTGGTATCAGAGCATTAGTTTTGTAGATTGAATTTCTTGTGCAATTAAAATGGAAAAGGAAGATTCGGGCATGATAAAGCTTACTTCCTCAAATTATTTTCTATGGAAAACAATGATGGAGGATCACTTATATTGCAATGATTTGGCTTTGCCGATTGAATGTAAAGGAATAAAGCTTGATGATATGGATGATGCAAAATGGAATGGACTAAATAGAAAGGCTACTGCTAATGTTAGAAAATGGGTATCTTCTAAGTCCATTAATCATATTTCTCAAGAACATGACTGTTATACAGTTTGGAAGATGTTGAAAGAAATATTTGCCAATGAGAGTGCATAAAACAAGGTTTTTGTAATTAGAGACCTTGTGAATTTGAAGTATAGAGATGGTGAAGATGCTTCAGTACATATAAATGTATTCCAAGGGTTCTTAAATCAGTTGTCATTGATGAATCTGGAGTTAACTAATGAAATGCAAGCATTAATTCTACTGAGTTCATTGCCGGATAGTTGGAAGACTTTGGTGGTGTCACTTAGCAATTCTACTCTGAATGGGAAGATCACTTTAAAAACAGTGAAGGATTGTATCCTCAATGAAGAGAAGAGGAGGAAAAGCACAAGCACTTCTGAGTCTCATGCACTTGTTATAGAAAGTCGAGGGAGAAGTCCAAGTAGGTTCTCTCACGGCAAGCAAGATAGAGAATCCACCAATAGAAAAGGCAAATGGAAGCCAAGAGGAAAATCTCAGTCAAGGAAGGGTTTTAAGTGTTATTATTATGACAAGCCTGGGCATATGCAGAAGGATTGCAGAAAGTATAAAAAAGATAAAAAGGGTAAAGATGAAGAGAAGAATGGAGAGAATGGTACAGTTGCAGTTGTATTTAATGGTGATGTTGTCATTGTTTGTGATGATGGTTGTGTTAATCTTGCGTGTCAGGATACCACCTGGGTTGCAGATTCAGCAGCTTCTTACCTTGTTACACTCCGACGTGATTTTTACACATCCTACACTGCTGGTGACTTTGGTCAAGTTAGGATGGGAAATCAAGGGATGGCTAGTGTTGTGGGCATTGGAGACATTTGGTTGGAAACCAATACTGGGTGCAAGTTGTTACTCAAAGATGTTAGGCATGTGCCTGATATGTGGCTACACTTGATCTCTATAGGTACTCTTAATGAAGAAGGCTATCACAATTACTTTGGAGATGGTAAATGGAAGCTCTCCAGAAATTCCCTGATTGTTGCTAAAAGGAAGAAGATAGGTCTCTACATGTCACAAGCCAAGGTGATCAAAGGGGAGGTGAATGCAATTGAAGATTGCTCTACTGATTTATGACATAAGCGGCTTGGACATTTGAGTGAGAAAGGCCTTGGCATCCTTGCCAAGAAGAACTACCTTTCATTAAAAGGTATGAACTTGAACACATGTACTCATTGTTTAGTTGGCAAACAACACAGAGTTACGTTTCAAAGATCACCTTCACATAGAAGATCACATGTTCTTGATTTAGTTCATACTGATATTTGCTCTATGATTGATAAGTCTCTTGGAGGTGCATTGTACTTTGTTAGTTTTATTGATGATCACTCCAAGAAAATTTAGGCCACTTGTTTGAAATCCAAAGATTAGGTGCTTAATGTCTTTAAGGATTTCCATGCCAGAGTTGAAAGAGAAACTGGTAGAAAGCTCAAATGTGTTCGAGCTGATAATGGTGGTGAATACAGGGGTCCTTTTGAGAAATACTGTAGGGAACATGGTATCAAGTTGGAGAAGACAGTTCCTAAGACTCCATAGCAGAATGAAGTGGCTGAGAGAATGAACATAACCATTGTTGAAAGAATTAGATGTATGCTCTCTCATGCAAAGCTACCTAAGTCCTTTTAGGGTGAGGCAATGAAGACTGCAATTGCCATGATTAACCTTTCTCCATCAGTTCCTCTTGAATTTGATGTTCTAGATAGAGTTTGGAAAGGAAAGGATGTCTCTTATGCACACTTAAGAGTGTTTGGATACAGGACATTTGTACATGTTCCTAGAGATGAAAGGTCTAAGCTTCACAACAAGACAAAGCAGTGTATTTTCTTAGGCTTTGAAGATGATGAGTTTGGCTATAAGTTGTGGGATCCAAAGGAGAAGAAAATTGTGAGAAGCAGAGATGTTATCTTCTTTGAAGATCAAACCATTGAAGACTTTGAATAGAAAGAGAAAACAGAGTCTACTATTTTTATTCCATCTAATTCAAATTCAAGACCTACTCCACAGTTACCTTTGATGCCTACTAATCATGGGGGAGACATGCAAAATGATGATATTGGTGGTTCTCTTACTGAGCCATTAGTTGGTGATCCTGAATCAGCTAATGATGATATTGATGTTATTCCTGAACAGATTATGCAGGAAGCTTCAGATGAGTCACAATTGAGGAGGTCAACTAGA